TTAAAAATGTGTTTAATGTGTTATTTGAAAAATTATTTCTCAAAATAGAAAACTAGAAAAAACGTTTGATTTGAAATTTAAAAAAATAATTATTTTATGACATTTTATTCCACGAAATTTGATTATTCAGTAAAAACAGAACAATTTTGTGTTTATATATTATCAAGTAATATATATTATTTGGTGAATTTTACAATAGGTTTACTCTCTACTAAAGTAAACTAAAAATAAATAATAAATTGATTTCTTTTATTCCATGAAATTTGATTATTCCGTAAAAACAGAACAGTTTTGTGTTTATATATTATCAAGTAATATACATTATTTGGTGAATTTTGCAATAGGTTTACTCTCTACAAAAGTAAACTAAAAACAAATAATAAATTGATTTCAAAATATAGAAAATAAAATAAAATTAATGATGTGGATTGATAATATTTTTATCCATTATATATTTTTAGAATTTTTATGTGAATAATCATTATGAGTTTGAACTATTTTATTTTTTATAATTTACAATATTTAGAAATTTTTATAACTTTATTTTTTGTTTTCTATAATTTTATTATTTTTAGAATTTTAGATTTTATTTTCTCAAAAAAAAAAAAATTTTAGAATCTATCAATTTTCATTTTTGAATTTTTTAGTTTTAATTTTTTTAAAGTTTAAAATTTTATTTGTTAGAATATATTTTCTTTTTCAAATTGTTAAAATTTTACTTAAAAAAGATTATATTTAAACGTTTATTTTTCCATGCTTTTAGTGTCTTTAGAATTTTTATTGAAAAAATTCAAAACGGTAAAAATGCATTTTGAGTTGTTTTCGAAAATATATTTTTGGAAATACATGACGAAACACATTGTCATTGTTTGAAAACAACAAACTAAATGCATTCTTGAAAAATTGAAGACGACCAACGGATGGTAAAATTCACTTTTGGTACGTACCTAGACCCTAGTTATGAGTTCCAATTTTTCTTTGCCAGTACTCATAGTCAAGGATATTAGCGGAAATCAAAATTTGGTAAATTTCTAGAAACGCGTCTTAAATTCTTTAAAATCAAAGTACATATAGTGTGAACAGGGGTGGACCCAGCACCCAGAGAGTGGGGACGGCCTCCCGTGCTGGATCCGCTGGAGCCTTCAATTTCGTTAAGCGCTGTCGTGTTGTTGGCTTGTTGTCTATTGCAGTCTACACAGAGAAGATAGGAAGAAGACGGATACTATTCTGAATCGGGTGGGCCTTTTTTTTATAATAGTTTTGGCCCATTTTTTGGGCTGAGAAAAAGGCTGAAATAATTTTCATCTATCATAACATTAACACTGCCGAGGTTCCATTCTCTAAAGTCCAAACCCATTGCCTTCACTCCTTCACCGGGCTGCGATCTTCACTTCTCATTCTCCCTGCTCTGCTGCTGCTTGCTATAGCCGCCTACCGGTACGCGGCTTCTTCTCGGCGTTGGGCAGTTATATCTATTTTGTCCTTCTTGATCTGATCTGGATATTGTTTTTTTTTTTTTTTTTTT